GATCCAGTAGATCCAATGCAAACGACATAGGAGCAGACCACTCATAATTTATAATCTTTAAAATAAAACTTTCAAAGACTACAAATTATGGATTTAAAACTTAACCTAATATTAGTTGCTCTGATACCACTTGTTAAAACTTCCAAGATCTCATTATCAGATATTTGAATAGAACTGTAATATAAACGGAGAAACGTACCTGAATTCATATTGATAAATTGGCGCTTGAATTTCTAGAGATTTGGGGTGACCTTCCAGATCAACATGTATTTGTTAATCCCCTGAGAAAGTTTTTAGTTTCTCTCTGGCATCTTTTTTGACGATGAAATATCAAGAAAGGCTATTTTGTGGTACTAGAAAATACGATAATAAGAATACGTGTGATCTGAGGACTATAACCCTATTTATATATAACTTTCCTGTTATCTTTGGGATTCTTATTTCAACCCATCATAGAAATAGAAATTACCCTAAGTCTCTACACATTAAAGACCCATGTCCTATTAGATACATTAAAGTTCAAATCACAATTGATAACTTTAATTTGACTTAATCTTAATTAACAATTTACATTACATAATGATTCACATATAAGTCCAACGTTAGATTAAGGATCCAACACTAGATATACATGATTGCACACAAATCATTTTTTTCATTTGTTTTTAGCAAAGGAGCGGTAGGAATTAGGAAGTAGAAAGGAGAGAAGAGGAATAGTACTCAAAATATCTAAATTATAAATTCTCAACTTTAGTCCTTAGATCAAAACCTTGTTAGTTGTATTCAAAACTATTTGAAGACAATATAGTCAATAACTCAACATGGAGATGGGGGCAAGTGTTTGTGAGGAGGTGTTTTTGTTCTATGAAGAAGCTAAGATTGGGTTGTTAGGTTATTTGTTACTTGTAGATAAATATGGTGACTCCTGAACAGGCAAGATCAAGGGAGAAATATACGAAAGAATAACGTTGAGTACTATTGTATTACATATCATGGGTCTCAGGGTCTCGGCAATTATCACAACACTTGGTTGGCCAACCCCTATTTAGAAAATGGATGATGGATGTTGAAATTTGTACTGTCTAACATTAATTGGCTAAATTATATACTCAACATCTTAATTTCTAAAAATATACATGTAATTGGTAATGACAGTTCGTGTCCCTAATTCTTGTATTATATTTACGAGGAGGAATATGAAATGTTGGAGATGCATTTTGAAGTTTCAAGTAAATATTGTCTAATCTAGATTCGGCCATTAAACATAAGTTTATGACACTTTTACTAACTCTTTGTGTGTATTTAACCATGACTTCTTTCTCTTTGAATTTGCTTCATGATTTTAATCCGCTCCACTTTTTCTCATGTGATTGTTGAGGGAGATGCTGCAACAATCATCAAGGGTTTATTAGAGGATGAAGAGGATTTCTATCCTATTGGTCCTTTACTAGATGATGTGAAGAGCTTGTATATAATCTTGTTCAGTATGAATTTGTTTGGTCATGTAGGAATTGTAACATCTACTTGCCAAGCAAGCCGAAGTCATTGGTTCTTTCATTTGGAATCATCCTCCAGAGTTCTTGTATTCTGCTTTGTTGGCAAATTCATCTGTTTTATGCAATGAAGTCATTTGTTAGATATATAAAAAAAAAAGTACATATGCACAACAAGAGTTTATAAGTTATAAAAATTATATTTCTTGTGGTAACTTTTACAAAAAATACTAAGGGTTAATTTCAGAAACCTTCCTTGAGGTTTTTGATAATTTCACTCAGCTGCCTCCAGGTTTAGAAAATTACATTGAGCTCCCTTGGAGCAATAAAATAACTTCAATGTCATTTACTTGACAGGTAATTCACACCATATAAAAAACAAACCCTAAAGAAAAGGAAAAAATTGCCGCTACAAACCTACAACACATCTTGCTCTTTGCTCATGACTCAACCAACAACCCCTATTTCCTTATTTCTTTCTCTCCCCTATTCTCTTCTACCTCTTATCTGACTCTTCCCATAATCCCACTACCAGTCACCATTGCTTCCCAGCCACCAACTACACCACCATGCAAACCTATCGGAATGCTGTCTATTTTCAATCTTATTTTCTCTTTCCTTTTTATTATACTATTAGCCCCATTAGTTTTTTCCAATTTTTGTAATCCTTTGCTCATAATAGAGAACTGAAATTGCCAAAATCACAAATTGAGCAAGCGGATTTCCTTTGTTAAACAAGATGTAGATGAAGAAGATGATAGTGATAAAGGAAAAAATTTGAAGTTGATTGGTGGAAGGATGGATGAGGGTATGCCATTATGTCTATTGTGCACAAAAATATTAACATCTCCATATGGGTTTTGTTTTTCTAAAAGAAATTATTCCTAATACTAAGTTTACATAATTTCAGAAACCTCCTTGAGGTTTCTGAGAATTTCGCTCAGCTCCCTTTAAGTTTAGAAAATTACACTGACCTCCCTTCCTTTTACTGTTTTAGTAACAATCTAGACCCAATAAACCAAAATTATCTTCAAATATCCTAAAATACCCTTTTGTAAAATTATATAGTATATATAGAAAAGGGAAAGCAAAAATTTTTACTCAGCAGTTCTTCACCTTGCTTGAAAACTAGAACCTTACCAAATTGATCATGTTTGACGTTACCAAATTGATGAAGCAAACTTGATCAACTTTGGCAGCCCTAATTTTGATTCCTAAATTCAACCAATTTTTGTATCCTCAAAATCCCTAATTTTTGCCCCTTTCACCACAAATCAACTATAAACCAAGATACCACCAGCTCATATGATCCTAAAAGCTTACTTACAACCTGATATCACCTCAATTCTACAATCAATCCTGTATTCATGAGTTTTGCACTCCAAACTTTGAACCAAATGCCTGCAACCTACCTAATAAAAAAAAAGCTAGCCCTCAACTACTGATACCAACACTAAGAGCAACCCTAAACTCTAGCCTAGAGAGCCATTAGTCTGGAGGCAAACCAACACCAAAAAATTGCAAATAAAAAAAACCCACATGGAGATGTTAATATTTTTGTGCACAATAGACATAATAGCATACCCTCATCCATCCTTCCACCAATCAACTTCAAATTTTTTCCTTTATCACTATCATCTTCTTCATCTACATCTCGTTTAACAAAGGAAATTCGCTTGCTCAATTTGTGATTTTGGCAATTTTAGTTCTCTATTATGAGCAAAGGATAACAAGAATTGAAAAAACTAATGGGGCTAATAGTATAATAAAAAGGAAAGAGAAAATAAGATTAGAAATAGACACTATTCCAATAAGTTTGCATGGTGGTGTAGTTGGTGGCTGGGAAGCAATGGTGATTGGGAGTGGGATTATGGGAAGAATGAGATAAGAGATAGAAGAGAACAAGGGAGAGAAAGAAATAAAGAAATAGGGGTTGTTGGTTGAGTCATGAGCAAACAGAAAGACGTGTTGTAGGTTTGTAGTGGCAATTTTTTCCTTTTCTTTAGGGTTTGTTTCTTATATGGTGTGAATTACCTGTCAAGTAAATGACATTGTAGTCATTTTACTGTTCCAAGTGAGGTCAATATAATTTTCTAAATCTGGAGGAAGCTAAGTGAAATTGTCAAAAACCTCAAAGGAGGTTTCTGAAATTAACCCTATGACTTAATTCTCTTTTGAATTCAATATAAATAACTAAACTTATCTTTGCAAATAATTTGCTCATTTCAAGTTTTGTCCTCAAAGGAGATGCATTATGATGTTTTTTTTCTAACATGGGACCAATTATTGACGATTTAATTCCTTATGATATTGATGGAAATTGGGTTCTAAGGAAAGCGAACAAGGCTGCGCATGAATTGGCATATTATGCCAAAATCTCTGACTTTATTGAATCCCTTGTGCTGGACAATTTCCAGTATTTTGAGTAATAAAATATCTTTCTTATCCAAAAAGAAAATAAGAAAACTAAACTTAGAGATTTCAAATTCTGTTTGAACGTAACAAAGTTGTAATGGAATAAAGTCAATTATTGCGGAAGTTTAATTATATGAATATTAATTATATGAAAATTACTAATTATTTATAGATTTGCGACTTTTATAATTGCTAATGTCAATTACACTCTCCAATCTATCCACTCACACAGCAAATACATAAACAAACAAAACGTGCAAAAACGCAATAAATATTTTCACCCAATGAAAGTTGTGTCCAATACATGGGGACGGTTGTCCACGGAATTGAGTTTTTTGGCCTTCTTAGACTTCATTTATATATCTGAACAAACTTAATGCAGTTTTTTTTTTTTTATGTTTACACCCCTTTTTCTTTGAAATGTTTACTTCCAATAGGGTGTGTGCACTGATTCCCTATTTTTCATTTTTATTTTTTTCAACTTTTCATTTCTTCAACTTCTTCGGTTTAGTTGCTTGTTGATCATCTGCCATAAATCAGCCAATGACCAAAATAAAAATTATACAAAATATTCATGAAGGAACCTAAGGTCGGGGTACCTACTACAAATTATGTATCCAACTTTTTGATTGAATGAAAGATCTCAATGTAAAAGATTCCAGAAGGTCAATTATTTTGAGTTGGCAAATCAATAATCACATGTAGCAGACCCGAGAAGGACAATGAATTTTTTTTTTTTTTTACATACAAAAATTATACGTGAGAATCAAGCTCAAAAACGCATAATATGTACTCCTAGAAGAATAAAATGACTCCTTCACCCTCGAAAACCACAAACAGTAATACTCATAGCCTTTTAGCTGACAAAGTATTTGTCACATGTTGAATATTGATTAATATCTATACTTTTGAGGTGGAGGTTTTGAGGTGAATAATTGTTATCACTTTCAACTTTACCCTTATAAAACTAAATTATTGCTTTATTACCTAAACATACATTATCTATACCATATAATCATGATTGCAGACTAATCCACGAAAAAAAAATCAAAGGAAGCCAGAGAGCAAGTAGGAAAAGCCCAACTGCATTTAAGTCAGATTTGATAAAATGATAGAATGATTAGTGATTACCCTACAACCATAGGTTATTTAGTCACAGCAACAAGACACCTAAAGTCTAATGTTTTGCACAGGACAGAATTTCAGAGAGAAATTTGATATTCTAAATTTGGACAGCCCAGAAGCACCGAAGCCTATATAAAATAGTTATCTAGGATAGATACATATAAAACTTGATAACCATTTCACTATGATGAAACGGCTATTAGGTGTGGCCTGCCATTGCTCGTAGCTGCGCAATCATCAGTGCAGCAGCTGAATCTGTAGCTTCTTCAGGAGTAGAAAGCAATTCACTGAAACAGGAAGAATCAAAATCCATGCCTCCTACAGTTACCTTAGCTAAATATCCACCTAAAAAACAGAATAAATGGGATAAAACATATACTCCCTTTAGGAACACGAACACAAAATGATTTCTATGCAGAGAAATATTGTTCATTCTTGCCCTTGCTACCTCACCTTCAGAAACTGTAGAAAAGAAGATCACAATATACATACACATTCATACGATAAGCAAATGAAGTCTTGGGTTCTTTCTTTGAATTATTTCCTTCTCGGCAACTTTGTTGTTGTGTTACTGAGGCCAAAGTGGAAGGCAGTATGAATCAGAGATGGTAAAAATTGGCTTAATGATGGCTTGAGAATTACATACAACTGTGGTAAGGCTTGATCCTGGGAAATTCTTCTTATCAATTGTTTTATGCCATATTAAGTGGGTAGCAGCTCTTATCAAAAGTAAAGAAGGCTAAGAGTATATATTCAGACAGCCCTAATATTTAGAAATTCAAGATCAATGTAGATATGTCTTTACCATCTGGGGCTGACACAGAATAATTGACCATCCAGCCATTCACACCACAAATACCATTCAAATCCTGCAAGGAGAAATTTAGACATTTATCACACCGTCCAAAAAGAAAACTAACAACCAAACAGTTCACATGCCTAACACTATCTTAAAAACAAATCCAATCATAAAACATGTACGAAGAATACAGCAGGAGAATTTCTTTGAATCCTGCACCACTTGCCACCAAAAATTGAAAATGAAAAGGACACGAGGAAAAGTAGCAACAACAACATGTCAACCACTAATGGTTGTATTCTGGGTGCAAGATGACAGCCTGAGACTGACAAGGAGGAGCATCATGCAGTATAACACATGCTTAGAAAAATATGACACCAAAGTTATGTAATTATTCTACTGACAAAATAAACAATTGTCATACCTAATAAGAAAAGCATAGAAAAACACATCATTCCACAACACCTTCACTAGTATCTAGTTAGCATTGTTTCCAAAAAGCACAGGAGTGAAAAGCTAAAAGAGAACTTCTTGAATGAAAGACATAAAATAAACAGACAAATCTAGTATGTTCATTTGCCTGAGTAGGAGACCGCAAATTAAAGATGGCATCTGATATCCTCTTTGTGGTTCTGAGTTGATTTAAGCGACGATGGCCACCATGTTGATAACTCTCATGCTGATATTTATCTTTGAAGCATGCATCATTACAACCATCCATGATGGCATCTAACATAAGAGCCAAAGCATCTTCATTGCCTAGTACAGAACAAGAAATGTGAACATAGGACATAGCTATTCAATTTCACCAAATAAATTAGTAATAAAGTGATAAAACTGCAGAAAAGCAAAAGGTTGTTAAGAACTTTTTCTTGTAAAGTTACCATCATGTCTTGCATTTATGGGCCTTTTAGAAGAAGCAAACTCATTCTCCATGTATAGTTTTACTCGCAGAGAGGAGGCCATCTTACCTATTGAATTATCCATGAATCGAGTGAAACTAACTTTGGGCATCTAACCCTTCATCCATTGCATAAACAAAGATTAACAGCTCAAGAATCTTCTAACTATATCACAAGGTTAGCATAAACCGTTGTAAATCTTAACTAGGTAGCTTTGTTCATAAATCTAATGCCAACTCAGTCTTAGTATGCAGCCTACACCTAAGAAAGGAAATAAAAAATATTCCTTGATAATTCAAGAATTTATAATCCAACAAATTTCCATGGAAATTTATATCACTTTGGAGGCTTGAATTCTTATTTTTCACCTCTTTTGTTCAGTTGAAAAGCTGGCCCATATTCTAAAGAAGAATGTGACATGTTCAATTCTTTTCTTATGAGAATGGAGAGGAAAATTTAACTATGGTAGAGTTGGTCTGTTGAAGAATCAAGAACCTAGCTTGGGAAAGGTGAAGCGGAAGAAGAGCTTAAATGTATTAAGTATGATACCAACTGAGGACCTTCATTTACTGAATGGAAGATATATTTTCTATTCCATTCAATTCTTGCACAAGGTATCAGGCATGTGCAGGGATAAAGAAACAAAACAAGTCAAGATAAGCACTATACCCTCTAAGATCTTCTGGATGTTTTGATCACAAGCTGCAATCTCATCATGCATGAGGCGAGCTTGATGACACTGCCAAGACGAAAAGATAAGTCAATGAATGTTCGATACCAGTTTAGGAATGGCTAGGACTGAATAAAATGTCCAAATGGAACATTTAAGAAGATGAAGTCACCATGTAATTGGTTCATAGTTGGAATATTCACAGCAAGGTAATCAAGCTTGGAATACTATGACAAACCAAATATTTGCAGCATTCAGAAGATTGAATTTCCAAAAAATGTACCAGATAATATTAGAGAGAGAGGTTTTTAGTATCCAGGACAATCTTTCCGTCTCACAAGTTTTAGCACTATTTTCTGCAATACACATGTTATAGCTAACTCTGATGCATATACATCATACAAAGCCCAACTTGTTAGAAATACTTCCATCTCTTTTAGCTACCAATAGTATCAGCAAACAGAAATATTAACTGATCTCTTGCTCTTGATGGAACTTAAAATATTTTGATGTACTTTTCCCTTCAATCTACTTCAACTTTCTGGCATTTCCTTAAAAAGATAAGATCAGGGTTCATTCAAGGAGCTTTCAATAGTCAACATCATCCACTCCGTCACACTTCTCACAATAGCATTCACACAAATAAAAATTGGAGAAAGAAAAGATGAGAATGATTGACTTCCTTATGCTGCTGGTCAGACAATGAAGTCCGTCACTATCTTATGGAAATAACCCTCTTCTAGGAAATAACATATCCTCTTCAACTAAAGCAACTGTACTTTTACCATAGCCAAGTCTATCCAAGTGATGTTAGCAATGAAGTCCATCACTATCTTTTCGAAATAAAGTTGCTTAAAAGAATCTTTGGCATGAAAATCTTTATCTATCAGAGACAAGCACAAGGTACAGGCTAGACTACCAAAACCTTACCATTTTTGCTCTTTTACTGAATAAATGTCCCAAAGCAGTCTGTGCCAGTGCTACGTCTTTTGTTACAAGTGTAGCCTGCTGAGTTTCAACACTTCTGGCATTTGGCTCAAGACAAACTGGTGCATAATCTTCCCCTTGAGTCCAATTTAGATTGTATGGGAGAGTCCAATTGATGCCAGTTCCAGAATCCTTTCCTTCTCTACTATTAAATCTATTTGATTTTGGGCTACCAGCTGACTCCACCTGCAGACAATTAAGTGTCACAAAAAGTAGATCACTAACAAATTCTCATAGAAAAAGGACACTAGTTAAGCAAGCAGTATCAAAAGCTGCAATGAGGCAGTTAAACATTGGTCCACTGAAAATGATGCTTTAGAACCACTAGAAGAAAAGTAAGTTGATTGACTAATAAAGAAAACCACACCAAACGATTACTTTTGTGTCCTACATATTTTTTGTAACAACTTAAAATAGCATTTCCAGCAGTGCATCTTCATCATCACACAAAAGCTGGAAATATGAGCACTGAATGATTAACCTCATCTCTAAAAGGAAATACTTTGAGCTTTTGATATCCGCAATCAGCAATTATAAATAGTCGGTAGAAGCTCAATGGAAAGAGTTAACTCCAGGTTATAGAGAATAAATTCACAGTGTGCATGTTCAGAGAAATTTGACATTATATACTTGTGCAGTTGAAAGAAAAAGGCTGGTCCTAAATATGCTTTCTATTTTCAACATAATTTTCTCTAGGCTACGGGAGAAGTTAAGATCAAGAAGCCTCAGCTAATAAATCAGAAAGTGAAACAATAAAACAATCTATCGCGTAATCTGAAAGACAAGAAGAAAAAAACAAAAGGGTTATTTTCTTTTGTGTAAAACCTTTAACCTTGAGGAGCTACACAATTCGATTCACATCCTGAAGTGGTTGGAATTACTCTTGCAAAGGCTAAAAATACATCCTAGAGTTGGATCTTCTATTTTCAAATTTTCAAGGAGACAAAAGAAGATGAAAAATACTTCAGCCAAACTCAATGGTGGACCAAAAAGATGGACACTCATGTCATAGCATCCATGACCAAAAAAAGCATACGAAGGATTGTAAAGAGATGATTAGGATACCAGAGGAATATAAAGAAGGTGGGGCTTGTACCATATGGGAATTGTCGTATATTACACATGTATTTAGTGATGAAAATGGTACCTGGGTAGTCTACTAGATGATGACTGTTCCTCCTCCCAAAGCATATAACCAGAAAAAAAACAAAAAAGAAGAAAACCTACTGTATGTCATTCAGTACCACTGCAAATAAAGTTCACCATGCTGCTTTCACAACACAGTTAATCTTCCATGTGGAGCACTGTTTATGATGCGGTCCCTACTCACTAACAACTGAGGTCATCTTTCAAAATAATAGTCTGCACAGACTACAAATCTCTAAGGCACGTTTGTTTAAGCAATGCATTTTCTGAATGGGCAAGAAACTTGCAGTTGTATACTGTGCTTCTTTTGGCACAAAGTTAATTTTGTACATGCAGCAATAATAGTGTATGAACAAGAGAAGGTCGAGATGTCATGGTGCAGCATCATGGTTTCACAATCACCCTTCTGGTTCTTGTTGCAACTACTAGGTATATCTCCCCAGTTTGCACATGCAATTGATAAATTTCCAATAATCAAGTTCACTTATCATGTTGAAGAAGCATCTCTTCACACTGCTTTATGTGCATGTGTATATAGGTGATTGTGTAGCTAAACTTTCATACAGATAAACATATTCTCAGACACCAAAACCAATTACCCTAGCCCACAAAAGAACCGACCCTGCCACGGGCAATTGTTAAGCATAAGAAGTTCCTCTAGCATCCTTGTAATCAATCTTCTTTCTAAATTTAATCTAGGTAAAGAAAAACCATGATAAGGTAATTACTAAGGTGCTAAACTGTATTACAAATGCCGCCATTAAAAGTATCCAATCGGCATATAAATCTGCATCTATTCACTCCAGGAGTAGTTGCGCACTTCTCAGCTTAATGGAAATGTCCATGCTTTACTTCATAAAGCTTGTCAGCAAGTAAAACCCCGATGCAAGATGCAAATTCAAATTGCTATATTAGGTTGGTACAGACTGCTAGCAGTAGTAAGCTAATTGTAAAGAGACAACAATGATTTTCCAGAACCTCTAATCTCAGACTAAAACAATCCCAGAACTCATACTGCTGCCTTTGAAGTAATAGGAGCATCTAAACTGCTACAACACCAGAGCAAAAATCAAATATCACAAAATCTCCTCAAAGATTATTAAATGTTAATAACTAGAGCTTGCAAATAATTGGTACAAGCTACTTAAATACAATCTTTAACAGGACACACACAATTAATTGAAGTTTATTTGATTTAAGCGAAGACTTTCCTACTTCTTAGTATCATCGAACTCAGACTTCCACTGGCCACTTTAATTCGAATATCAACAAATGAGGGTGCATATGAACCTATATAGCTTAACTAACAAGAAACATATTACTTGCAAAGTTTTTTACCTTTATTGTAAGTCAGAATATTAAAGTCACTTACATTGACACCTCCACCTACAGAAGCACATGCACCACTCTTTACAGGAATCTTCCTTTTCTGGTGATGGTAAACTCGCATAGGTGAATCTGCACTCTTATTCTTGTCCCCGTTTTTGGTAAATCTCATTATAACTCCACCATCATCCGTCTGCTGCCTTTTTCTGGGAAGGAAGCAGCTTATCTGGAGTTCATTAGTAGGACCCTGTTTTGAATCTTCAGAATCCTCATTGTTCATGGTATCCAAAGATTTATCAAGCTTTTCTGTGTCTTTGATTACTTTCTTTATCTCCTTACTATTGTATGCATCAATTGTATGTTTGCCAATAGAATTTCCACCGATAGAGTCTCTCAACCCTTCAACAGTTGAGTGAGTGAGTTTACCTGTATCAGAGTTTTTAGGGCCTTCAACTTTATTCTCCACCCTCTTAGCATTGTCACTTCCACTGTTCTCTTCACCCATACAATCTATACGAACACAATTTTCTGACTCTTTCACAGTTGAGTGACTGATGTCCGATAATGCATCAAGGCTTCCTGTTTCTTTAACTTCTGTCTCTGCCCTCTTGGAGTTGTCAGTACCAGCTGTGTCTTCACCACTACAATTCTCCAACTCTTTCACAGTTGTGTGATTAATGTCCAAGAATTTATCTGATTGTTCTAGTTCCTGAGCTTCTTCAGTCTCCATCTTAAATTTGTCAGTAGCAACTGTCGCATTACCTCTAAATTGCGCATTTTTGCAGTTTCCGTCCAGTTTTTCTGCTTCTTGAACTTCTTTATCTGCCCTCTTGGAGTTCTCTGCACTAATTGTGTCTTTACCACTACAATTTGCATCAATGCAGTTCTCCAACTGTTTTAGAGTTGGGTGAGTGATGTCCCAGGATTTATCAGATTGTTCTGTTTCTTGAGCATCTTCATCCATCGTCTTAGATTTCTCAGTAACAGCTTTCTCATTAACAAGGTTCTCCAACTGTTTTAGAGTTGGGTGAGTGATGTCCCAGGATTTATCAGATTGTTCTGTTTCTTGAGCATCTTCATCCATCGTCTTAGATTTCTCAGTAACAGCTTTCTCATTAACAAGGTTCTCCAACTGTTTTAGAGTTGGGTGAGTGATGTCCCAGGATTTATCAGATTGTTCTGTTTCTTGAGCATCTTCATCCATCATCTTAGATTTCTCAGTAACAGCTTTCTCATTAACAAGGTTCTCCAACTGTTTTAGAGTTGGGTGAGTGATGTCCCAGGATTTATCAGATTGTTCTGTTTCTTGAGCATCTTCATCCATCGTCTTAGATTTCTCAGTAACAGCTTTCTCATTAACAAGGTACTTTGCACTGTTGCAGTTCCCATCATTGCACTGCCCCTCATTGTTAACTTCTGCATAACAGGGATTTTCCAGCATTAGATAGCTATTGATCTCTATATTTCCCTGTTCCACACTAATATTCTGCAATCCATTTGAGGTAACTTGCTCTCTTTCAGAAAATTTTTCACCAAAATTCTCCTCAATTTTCAGAATGCTGCTCACATTGGATCTCTGCAAGCTAATTGAGGGAAATTCCCTGAAATAATTGGTGATTCAGAAAGTAAGACAGTGCAGAAAAGCTTTAATGTCTGTAGACTGTTTAAATAAATAAAGCACTCTACTCTTTTTAACAGCATAAGCTTTTACATTTAGTGCAACTCCACAGTTTATCAAATCTTATGGCCAGAAAAAGAAAATGTCATGAAAACAAACGAAAATGGAAAGAATCCATAGTTTAAGCAAATCCCAAACACTGAGGCAGATAGTTCAATCATTCCAATGGAATTTCCATGCAACTACTCCCTCAACTTAGAAACTTAACTATCATTTTGTCCAATGAAAATAATTCACAGTTGAGGCCCATAAATAATATTCTGCAATGTCGTCATGCAGAACTCAGTCAAACAAGATCATGTAGATACACACATCTTCCTGTGAGCCTAAATTCAGCAGCCAAGTAATAAATGTTTGACCCCACAAACACATTGCACCAAGATTTTCAAGGGCACAAATGCACAAAAACTGCAAAAGTAGCCAAATCCTCTGAAGCATTCATAGAATTCATGACTCCTGCAAAACGACTAAATTGGGATAGAATCAGGTATACAACGGAAAAATTGATTTCTTTCCATTAAAAACAAAGAAACAAAGTTTGAAAAAGGTTGTCATTATATGCATGCTTCCTTAGAGTCAAATGGAGTCTGACAAAAACTACTTTATGCAGCTCATATAACTTTTTCTTATAAAGGTCCTTACACTAGATTCCTCAAAGTCTTTCATTATCCAGAACTGAAAAGAATGTCCAATGTACATGTGTTTTGTTACATTATACAATTGTAAACTACAGAATATAGGTTTGAGCATGAAACCTTTATAAACAGATATCATTTAACTTCAACGTCATAGTACAAATGCAACAGGTAGTCGTTAAGAATCTATGCTCATTTCTAGAGCAGTAAGAAAATATATTAGAAGCTGTGATACCAGTAGTAGCAAGCTAAATAAATATGCTAAGAAGTGGCAAGAAACAGAAGTTCACTGATGAGACACTAATGAGACGGTAATAAAAATAAGCACTGACAATTCCCTAACAACTTAGTTAAAACTATACAAGTTAAAAGCTCTAATTTCAGTCAAACATTTAATTTCTTGGATGATTCTACAAAGTCATCCTTCTTAGTCCACCAAACGACCTCCATTCCCCACCGCCCCAAAGGGTGCCTGACCAATTGGACACAAAGCCCAAGTGGAATAACGGATTACAACTTGCAAGAGTTTCCTTTCACGTAACAAAGACATAACCTTTCCAACCCTGACCACAAGACATGCATTCACAAGCCAAAATCCCTCCCTTTTGCTGATCATAGGAAGACCATCACATGCAAACAGTAAATCAAAGGAGGGGAAAAAACAGACCATATCCTCTACAACATGGCAATGAGGAAAAGACCAATTGAACCACCAGGATTTAAGTGACAATGATGAATGCATCACCTTTGAGGTAAGGGTTTGGAGATCTGCTCCATGTTCTCTTTGGGTAGATTAGGAAGTTAATGATAGGCAAATTTATTAGGTTTGAGGCCATTGCTATGTAGGTCTGGAAGGTGGGGGCGGGTACGGGAATTCCTGTGTGTATAAATGTAAGCAAGTCGAACGCAGTATTGAATCCTCAGTGGACTCCTCTTATATTTGAGAAAAGCTCAAACTCATTTGACCAAAATGAAGTCCGATGTAAATAGGTAACTTAGCTCCCTGTATTAAACTCCAAATGGTTACCGGAGGCCACAGAACAGGTACAGTCACCAATATTAAAGCAAAAAGATAACAGTGTTGCGAAATCCTAATTGGCCATTAAAAGTGTAGATCACATTTCAATACCATACTAAATGAATTTCCAATTTTTATGGCACGTAACTATGGACCACTGGACAACAGGACAAATATGACCATTAGTCCATGAAGTAGGGCAAGTGGAGAGAGGTAATTACATGGAATATCCTGAAAGAGCATTTGAAAATTAAATTTTGAAAGTTAGTGACGACGTAAAGTAGGAGCTAGATACTGCTGATTGCAGGACAGGGAAAACATATGGGGAAAGCTGGTTGGCTAAAGAGAAAGGCTTGAGAATTCTCACTCAGATGAACCAGCTGCTGCCAGTCTAGTGAGATTTAGACCTTGCCCTCATAAGGTGCAACCTATGAATCTACTGGCTGTAGGCCAATCGACTATGATGAAGATGAAAATATTCAAGGTGTTTATTTTAAATAGGTAATGAACTGCTCCATAAGAAACCTTGAATATGAAATAAAATGTAAGACAACTTCTGCGTTCAACCAGCAAAAGGAAAAAATGAAAATAGAAAAAACATTTTGAAGCAGTAGAAGAGGAAGATTTTATCAAGACGTCATGAAGAAAATTACATATCCAATTTAAATAATGTAATCATCTATAGCATAATGGGTCTTATATTTGTGCATCCATACATCTCACTAATGATAAGTTATTTTTTCTCAGGATATTAATAATATTGTCTTAAAGTTGAAAGCAAGCAAGCTGATCAAATGTCCTCAGAAAAATGTGACATGCTCTCATCAGAGCAAAAGAGGATTGGCCGCTCAGAAAATTCTCTGCAATTCAAGTTCACTTCTGGTCATGAGCATCCTGGTTGAAATCAAGACACTTCTCCTCTTCATGCCTGCTTTGCATAAGAAAGATATGTGCAATTTATACATATTATCCATTATGTCAGTTACTCTTCGTAACCGATCCACTTCCGACAATAAAGAAACTGAGCATGAAATTGAAACTTTTACCTTATAAAATCCAATAGACTGAAAAAAAAGTAACTGATTACAGAGAAAAATGAAGTAAAGACCTTCTATCTCTGAATTAGTAATGATCTGGAAGATCCAGCAGAATGGAGAAAAGAAAGGAACCAAGTGTTTATGAAAGAAAACTACTAAGAAAAGAAATCGCTAGATGAATGATGCCACTTGTACCTTGAATACCAGCTTGACAGAATCATGGCATAAGGAAGCACGTTATAATGCTCAACCACTGTGGTAGTCATCCAGCTATGAGACATCCATTCAAACAGGGGGCCCTGCAAACTAATTCAAATGCAGAAGCACGTTTATGGTACCATCATTGTTACCTGGGAAGAAAAATGATAATTTAAAGCGTTTTCAAATCTTAAGTGGCATCCTTTAATTTTCAAGCAGCTCCTGAGTTTTTAAAGACAACAAATGATTGAAAATTCACTCAAAGATCTGATACAAGATAACTTGAAAAGCTCATTTAAGTTCTATGGCCTACCTTGCAATTTCTGAGCAATCTACTGTGGAAATAATAAATCCAAAAAGATTTATAAAATGTTGTAATCATAGACATATAATCAAAGGTGTTTTACAGATGAGCTAATTTGGTCCAGTAAAATATCTGGTTGTCTCCTTACTCCTACACCAACTGGGCAAATTCTGAAGAATCTACAAAGAGAGGACAAAAGTATCTGATCGTCTTCCTAAGAGTGTTCCATATGGCCAAATTAGTACTCAACGCAAATCCCATGTGACTAATTAGGTATCCATAACTTTCACATTTTCCTAGATGAAATTAAGCAGCAACACTCTGTTGTCTAATTCTGTGGGCAGTCAGTGTTTACACAGTCCAGCTTCCAGCTTCAATGAGTCCTTCCATCTGTTTCTTTTATCCCAACCAAGTTTTTCTTCTCACCACTTCTCAATCAACTGGATAGACACCTACTTAAAATGTCAAAATTTCCTATTCTTCTTGCTTTCCCTTGATCTTTTAGTGCTTTACTTGCTGAGCTGCAAAGTAGCACAATAGTTCCTGCAACAGCAAGTTCCCCTATTTGCCAACAAAGCAGTCACCACTGCTGGCTCTTCTCTTCAACTCTTGCTTCTCTAACCTATAATCTTTCTTTATTTCTTTCCTCACTGCCAGCAGCCAGAGTCCAGTAGCAACGAAACAATGCTTTGCAGCCACAGTAGCAGGTACAGAGTCTATCATTTTATTGATAAGGACAGGAAATGAAAATGAACGATCAGAAGAAGACGTTAGAGAGTAGTTTGAGGGTTAAAGAAATGACTGAATGGGAACTTTAAAAATTGTGTACCAACACAACTGGTGGCACCTGTCTCCTCTAACAATCCAGAACATTTTGACTTTTTTATGAGTGACTTTGCAGGCAATTTTGGGCTTGCAGGTACTTCAAAAATTGGAGAGTTTTTAGGTCATCCTTAGGTCATTTTACTTTACATCTGCGAACTGATTTTATACCCCCTCGCAAACCATGGATTATTATTATATCATCCTTTTAGGTCAATTAAGCTTACATATGAGAACTGATTTGACACCCCCTTGAGATTGACAGAAGCCATGAAACTAAAAAAGGGATTGGCAGAATCCCATGAAATTGAAAGAGACTTAGTGAGAACAGAACCAAATAGCAGCACACAATTCTCCTTTTCTGAGTCGACCAACAGCACTGAAACTTTTGAAATCGGCCATCCTTCTATGCTTGGAATGTCTTTCAGTGCATCTAAAGACAATGAGATATTGCAGGCATCCATGACTGCTTTCTCTGTCACTGAAAGTTGGTTTTCCAGATCATTCAACCCAACAGGATCGGTTTGGAGTGTAAACTTCATATGAGGCATTAGAGTTGGCTTTAAAGTTAAAGCCAACTTGCAAAATGGCACAAATTCTAAAAAGCACAACTCTGGATCTTGCTTCCTATAATAGTAGTTGTAGAGTAGCCCAACAGCATGCATCTGTAGCAAAGCAGAAATGGGTAAGAAACATCAGTTAGTAAAACAACAAAATCCATAAGATTCATAACTTCTGTACCAAATGCTTCAATTCAAAAACAAAATTTTGTCTCAACCCCAGTAGAAGGAAAAAAAGGAAAAACCATAAGATCCTACATTTGGCTAAGGTAAGTAAATGCATACTGCACAAAAGAGCAAAGGACACGCCATTGATTTTGCATACCGCAATTCTTTCTATTTATGAGAATTAAACACTACTACAAGATATGATTAGAATTGAGTATACTTAATAGAAGCATCCATGTCTTTTTGCATGGTTAAGATGTTATTTAGAGGGACAAAAAAAGCATGATTGATGAGCTAAGGTCATGTGAAAATACTTTGGCAACAAACTTCCATGTTATCTTTTGGCTTTCCCCGATGCTACCATAACATCATCTTTTGATGATAGAAGCCTAGAAATGAACAAGAATGGTTTTAAATGTTCTGAAGAAAGTAAGCACCACCCTAAAAATGAAATAGAAAATCCTTCTTTCTCAGAGAAATGCTTCCAGCACTAATAGATAAAACGAATATGAAGTTAGCAATACTGATAACCATGGAAATCACTTCCAATCTCTACAATGATTTACAGACCAGTTTTAATTTTTTTCTTCAAATCCTTGGTCATTTAAGTACAATATAATTGGATAGCCCAGGACAAATATACTTGCATCATTGTAAATAGTTAAAAAGAATTTTAAATTACAAGGTTTAGTTAATACAAGCAGCTTTTCTAGAATAGACGACTCCAATCATACCTTATGCACAATGCGCAATTTGATTCCAAGTAATCTGCACTCTCATTACAATACAAAGGCAACTTTTAAACAGAAAACTACAGATGTAAGTAATTCCTTGAACACTTCTGCAGTTGGAATCTCCGTCCTCTCCCTCCCTCCCTCTCTCCCATATATTCTAGTCCTAGTGACTTTTCCTTGCATGGCCATGGCAGCCCTTAATCTTTTAATAGAGGGCATCCTTCTTGACCTTTGGATCCAGTTACAAGTGCTACTCCCACATATATGTTTCTCATAAAGTGCCTAGAACCACTATCATTGAGCTCCAAACCATTTTCACACTTGGCTGTTCATTCAGTATCCTTCTTCATCGTATGGGTGTGTGGATTCTCCTTTTTAAGTCACCAACAAAATGGACAGACTTGTTGCCAATTTTCCAGGAAAGCAGTCTAATTATATGAAATGCACATGCTCAGGCCAATGAAACATTTTGAAATTTGAGAACCAAAATGACAATTTTTAGAGGTTTCTATGTCTGCACATAGTAATTTTCTTTTTCTTGTTATTTATTATGAAATGAGAATGTCTAAAACAAAAACCAAAAACCACTGTAGACCGTGGTGCACAGAATGCATTACTGCCAAATGTTTCACAAATGTGTTCATACCATAATCTATAAGATTCTACTACAATTAAAATAAAATGATATCAGTACAAGTACTAACAAAGCAAAATTAGTTCTAAAAGAAGTATAAAAGAAAGCTTACAAAAAAAAAAAATCAACTAGGGGACAGAGAAAGAACACCTGTCTAGAAACAGACTGCTGATTGTCAAGTGAAGGAGGATCCTTTCCATATAGCTTCGAAGGTAACAGTGGATCAACCAAGCAATCCAACAATGCGCTTACTGCCTCCTCGATGGGTGCCACGTCCGACATGGAATAAGCTATCCTTAACTAAACAAAATGACAAAAACTCAACAATTAATCCAAGAATTATAAGATTAAAAGATATCCACAACATTGCAATTTCTTCTCTAAGATTACAATGTGAGATGAATATATCATTTCAATGTGTTACTTGCTTAAATTTAGTTGTGTGGGTTTGCATACATATGAAAAAACAAAATAATATTCCCTAACAAAACATGGAAAACAATTTCCCAACCAACTAGCGTAATCCTTAATATCTATTTGCCCCACAACCAGGAAACATGAATTTCTTGTATATTGCAAAATATTCCTAACATTTATTAGTCCCCACAACCACGGAACTGGAATTTCAGTAATTTGCAAAATATAGTTCCATTACCACATAAATTTGGCTGGAACAATACCTGTTTCTATAACAGGGGTATCGAATGGTTGGGATTATGCAACCAATTATTTTAGCTATCAAGATTTTTTTGAATATTAAAACACATTTGGTGCACAGAAAAAAAAACAAAAACTTAAAAAAATAAAAATAAAAACTAAAAGCCGCATGAACAACATTTCCTTAAAAACATTTCATAAAAAATCTTCATCACCACGAATTATCAGCATGCATGCAAAGAAACTAACAAGTTTCCACAAATTCAACCGCTAACTTAGGGTTCCTGAAAAACATAGAAAATTACCAAATAAAAAACTTCATATAGGCCTTGAACTTCGGTATACCTTGAAAAAAAAATAAAAACAAACGCAAACACAAACACAATAACGAGAACAAAAGCTAAAAATTAAAACAAAGCAGAGAAAGAATTTTACCGATAAGATTCCTTCACACCGTTCGACCCAGCTAACAATCACTACTCACGGCGAACTCCACGGCGACCAAAGCTTTTTATGGCACTAAGGAGAGAACCGGAGGCTAAAACGGCGCCGTTGAAAATGCTAGCAAAGAACAGTGGACTGAAGTAGAGAGGATTGGAAGAAGCAACTTGGGAATTTGTGAATTGGTACTGACAACAAGAAGAAGAAGAAGAATCGAAAGAAAAGACAGAAAAGTCGGTGAGTGAAATTGGGGAAGTGAAGGCGTTACGACTCACTTACCATAACAATGTGCTGTGCTGTGCTGTGCTGCGCTGCGAGTGGTTTGCTTGAAAAGGCGCGCACTTTGCTGACGTGGCGCAAGGTAAAGAAGGAGAGCTTCCGTTACTAAATGAGATTTAAATGTAATATGCTATGACTAGATGCATTCTAACCACTGAGCCATTAGAAGGGATTTAAGTTCCTCCTTAAACTGTAGATGAGGGTTCAAATCTCATTTACAGTGAAAAAAATATAAGGATTGTGGCATAGTACTTCTTTGATTTAGTTGGATCCATATATCTATTAGATCCCTATCACACCCTCTTTAGATTCCCCTCCCTCCTAAATTAGGATAGAGTAGGTTATACAAATGTATTGTCCGATTGAAGGATAGATATATAATTTGCAAGAGAATGTAAATTAATGGACAAATGCAGGTAGATATATATATAAAAGGAGAGTAACTAAAATTTAAATGTAATATGCTATGATTCGATATATCACTCACGGGCCTAGTTGGAAAAGACAATTGTAGATATTAAAACAACACGTGTCTGGTTGAAGGATAGATGTAATGTGCAAGAGAACATAAATTAATGAACAAATGTAAATAGATAGAGTCTACATAGATTAAAAAAGTTGTGCTTTAAAAGGACCTAAATCAGATACCTAACATTTCGCTTTTCTTGTGCCAAAAAATGAAAGACTGAGTCTACATTTTCACTTTTCTTGTGTTTTGATATACTATATGTGTGAGGACTCGTATTTTATTTTATTTTATTTATTTATTTTATCGATTTATTCACTTATTTCTTGGTTTACTCAAAAATAGTTATATTCATGATTAATTACCCAAGTGTTAGTTAGCTATATTATCGTTACAAGAATTTTTTAGAAATTTCATTTTATCGCGCACAAGTCGGAAGTTCACATTTTCGCGCGCACGGTTAATTAAGGGACTTTAGAAAATTATTGTTGGACTCTCATCTCACTCAAATCTTGCACCTTTTCACTCCAAATTCACTACACAAACTCACAACAACTTGGAAACTCACTTGGACTAGGAAGAGAGTATCATTTCCACGGTTTTCTTGGAGCTCTTGGTGAATAATAATAGTGTTAAAGGAAGTGCATTAGAGGTTTAATACACAAGTGAAACAAACCCGAGAGGAAACGGGCACGAAACGCGCGCATACGCGCACTATTGAGAGTTGACTTTTGTGCCAAAATTTGAACCACAACTACCAAGCTTCTCCAAGAAGCTTCCCATATTAGCACCATCTCTCTCTTTTCTCTCTCAAAGCCGCCGAAACCCTCAAGGAAGAAGAAGGAGCAAACATCAACCAAGAAGTAGTAAATCATCCAACCTTTGAAACTTGATTCTAATGAGTTAGATTTCACTTGGAAGCTTGTAGGTTTATGTGGGTATCTTTATTTTGTTGGAAATCATTTGAGTAGGCTCTATGAAATCTCACAATAGACATGTTGGACTGATATGATGATTTTTGGTGTTATTTATGTTGATTAAGTGTTAAATTAGTGGATATAAGTTGAAAAAGTGGAAAGAAAATCAAAGGAAAGCTTGCATAGGAAAGGGCCGAATTTTGCCCTGTTTTTGCAAAGCACTTGGTGCAATTGTTTTGTGATCAAATGACCTTGATTTTGATGTAGATATGTTGTATAGGTTGTGTGGAAAATTTTCACCAAAAATCACTTGATTTGGTTAGGTAAAAGTTGGATTTTCGAAATAACTTCAAAGCTGGAAAACGGGTAACAGGGGTTACCTGGCAGCGAACTTTGAACGATCATAACTCCTTGCTCTGATGTCAAAATCGAGTGTCGTTTATGGCATTTGAAACTAGACACTTCCAATTTTCTAATGGTATAAAATGTATCCCCTGATTCGAATTGAGTGAGTCATACCAGTTCTTCAAAGTTACCTATTCTGTTTTATTGTTATGCTGGAGAGTCAGTGATGTGCTAGCACGTGTTGTTTGAATTTGAGCTAGCTAAGAACTGAATTTCAAAATGATTTCTTCTGATGAAATGTAGACTTGGAATGTAGTTTCCAACACCACCAACCATGCCCAATTCCAAGTTGAATTGACTGAGTTATGGCTAAATTACAGAACTGCACCAGTGATAGAAAACCCTAATTTTGGCTAGCCGAATAGCTTAGCTCGAATGGGGACTTGTTATTTTGAAACTTTTGGTGTCAATCACCTACTAAATATATGTTAGATGTTTCTTAGACCTTTTCTTCATAACTGAACCGTGTTTGAGATGATTTCATTGGCCAAAGGTTCGAAAAAAGGAAAACGGAAGCATAAGGCAGAATTGCCTTGGAAATTCCTAAAACTTTAGTGGTCTTGTTAATTGATTTTCCGTACGAATTTTTGCATGAAATTTAACAGAAGAGTAGCCCTTATATGGTAGTATAATCATACCAAATTTGGTGCCATTCCAAGTCCATTTCGATGCCCAACTGAAGTCCCAAAGTTTATGTTTCAAATCTGGAAAATGGTCTTCATTTTGAACCAATTTTGAGCTGCTATATCTTGGCGCTCAAAACTCCGATTCTTGTTCTGTTTGTTGTGTTTTAAACTTTAATTGTAACTCTAATTGACTTTCAAATTTTAGAGGCTAGTTCACATTCTGTGAATTTTGCTGAATTTTCAAAATTTACCAAAAATCAACTCCGAATCTGTCTTTGAAGTGCAAGTCAGTAGTTTTAAACCGAAATTTGAGTGTCTTTCATTTAGAATCATGGAAAGATATCTTTTAGGAACTTTTAGTACTTTGAAAATAATTTCCAATGGTACTGAATTTTCCAATTTTAGACTTACGGAGAGTGAGATATGATTTTTCAAAGAATGCACCTCAAATCTGAAATTTCTGAACTTAAAAGAAATTGAGTTTTTAGAACTTACCATTTCTCTTCGATATTATATGACCATTTTACACTTGATTTCAAAGATGAAAATCAGTTTTTTCTTGTATTATTAAACCCCACTTTTGAGTCTCGATTTACGAATAATTAAGTCTCATTTTCATGATATTTTCTTAGATTGTACTAGAGTACAGTCTTCCTTGATAATTGGGGGGTCTTAAGCGATAGTGTGATAAATAATTATTGTTTACTCAGGTATTCAAGAGGACCTTACAACGGACGATTAAACACTTGAATTGAGTACCACTCTCTCATTTTAACTAGGTGAGTGTCAAGTGTGTGAAAATGTGTTACGTATTTAATTGTTATTGAAAATTGAGTATTTTGAAAATGCTGAGTCGAGTATGTACTTTACCGCACTCGTTCTCATTAAAGTGAAGTGTACTTAAATTATTTGAAATGAATATTTACGTAAAGTATACTTGAATTACTTGAAGTGACTTGTTAAGTGAATAAGTGAAGTATTTCAATGATTATTTATGCTACGGCTGCATAAGTCAATTGGAGTGAATCTCCTCGACTCTTAGTGATACTAGTGCGGGACGCCCAAATCTCATTCGGCCGACCTTGCAATTCGAGCCGGCATGGGTACGATCGAGAAGCTTGGTGAGCCATGAGAAACGTGTATAAGCTTGATCTAATAGAGAGATCTTGCTTGGCATACTCGAGTAGTATCACCTTAAATAAAAGATAGGCGGGCCCGGTACAGGAGTATGTAATGGTGATCGGGGAACGAGTAAGTGAAGATCTACGAATTATAACCTACCCGATTGACGGACTGTCAACTCGTGGAGGTTCTTGATCGTGCAAGTGGAAAATAGCTCTTGAGAGCTCTTATATCCTTGAATTATTTCTATTTACTTTTCTCGTCCGAATTGTTATTTACTTGAATATTACTGTTTATTTGTTAAATTGGATTGTTACTTGGACAATATGCTTGCATGTGTGTTTTTTGGCCTCACTGAGTATTGGTTCATTCCATTAGTTTGTTTTTCTTAACAGGTGGATTAGAAGATTATGAAAATTCGACTAGGTTGTGTTTTTTATTGGAATCTTGGTTGTAATTATTTAGTCAACTTTTTAATGGTTGTATTTTGGGACTTGATGTATCTTTTGAGAACCTGATGTAAGATTTGGATATTCGGTTAAGGAAGCGACTTTTCTTCATTTTAGACTTGTATTAGTTTGGTATGTACCGTTAAGTTTGAATTGAATTGTCTTGAGTCCTGGCGAGAGTTGGGCAGGCATCCTGCGGATACTCTTGGGTTCGCCCTTGGGAGAAATGAGGGCATCGCAGTTGGTATCAGATCGCTAGATTAGAGATCTAATTGGGAGATGTGTTAGGGACTTTATCCTTAAGACTTGAGATGAGATGACTTAGTCATACCCTAAGTTATATTTGAGTGAATTCGCAATTTTAAGTTTCTAATCTAGAAATTTGGGATGTTTTGTAGGGATGGAGAATGGGAACGGAGGACATGCTGCTGATGGTAATGGCCATGCTTGTGATAGCCCCACCTTACCCGTAACGAACGTGAACCAAAGGTTCGGCGGACCGCCTGCCCATCTCTCGCCAGAACTATTAAGACGATTATACATAACTCAAAACGTGCCAGAATACAGTAGCGTGTGCAAACAAAGCAAAAATCATGAAACAGAAAATGAAAATCAAAACGGAAAGTGAATAGCGCCTGCCACGTCACCATCCGACCGGGACCCAATCGAATACAAGTAACTTCATATAATCCTTGAAATGGACATATACAAACCAAACAGAACACATGAACATGAGTACACGCTTTTATAAACCACATTCGTATTTTTACAAATCAAAAGGGAACATTTGAATCCAAGTACAATTAGGGTTTCCAACCATTGAGGAGCTATACAAATATTTAAACTAACTCAACTCATGCTTCAAAATCACAGTTCTAAAAAGTGATTCCCTGTAAGGAAAACAAGGAGAACGGAACGGGGTGAGTTAGAAGTTCAATGAGGTACTAAAAGTAA